AATTGTTAAATTAAAAAAAAAAAAAAATGAATAAATAAATGAATATTGTGTTGACTTTTAGCATGAAAAAATGTATTGAATTATTTATAAATATTAAGTTTTAGTAGTGATTACTGAAAGTAAGTTAATTATAAGTAAGTAATTGAAAAAATCTTAAAATTCTTTTAATAAAGTTTGTTTTATCAAGGAATAATTTGATAATATACAAAAGAAAACATTATAATTTACTGTAAGTAGTGTTGACTTATAAGAAAAATAAGATTTATATACAGAATATATTTTAAAAAGTTTCTGCTTAAAATTAAAATATATATATATCTATATATATATATATATATATATATATATATATATATATATATATATATATATATATATACCCATATAGTGTAGCTTTAAGAGCTTTTTAATGTAAAAAAAGTCTCTTACGACAACAATTTTAATTACCTCGTCTCTTAAGCTGTTTTTGATTGTCATCGAAATGTCAAAGCAATTAATTTATGCGGAAGTACATTAAATTTAATTGTTTTTTAAAAAATTTTTAAAAAACCGCAATTATAACGACTAGAAAGTTTTTTTTAATTAGTGGTGTTTTTGTTATTGATTTAATAAAAAACATTTTTAAAATTTGCGTAAATGTTGCTACATCAACTATCTAATAGCCTGACTCGCAACGGAGTGCTGCTACAACGACTGACAAATAGCCTGACTCGCAAGAGAGTGCTGCTACATCAACTGAGGGTTTGGTTTGGCCAGGCAGTCTATCAATTAAAAAAAAAAATTTAATTTTTAAAACTTTTTCTGGTCTGGTTTATTAACGCGCTTTTTAAAACTACAGTTTATGGAAAACATTTTTTGATGCCACGCAAGAGACATGCAAGAGTATATATATATATATATATATATATATATATATATATATATATATACATATATATATATATATATATATATATATATATATATATATATATATATATACATATATATATATATATATATATATATATATATATATATATATATATATATATATATATATATATATATATATATATCAGAAAATAAATACATACAAAAAGAAATACATACAAATGTAAAAAAAAACAGCAACTGGTGAACTATGCGTAGTATGACGTTTAAATAAATTAAATACTAAGACATTTTTATGTCTATTATAAAGTCAAATATAAACAAACATTATTAGTTAAAACATTACGTTAAATCAAAAATATTATTATAATTATAACAGTCAGTATAATGATCATTATTTTTTATTCAAAGACATTAAAATTAATTTAAAAACAATATTGACTTGAGTGGAACAAATTCATATAATTAATAACAATGACTTCATTTACAAAATAATTCATACATTATTGCGCCATGGCATTTCCTTAGGATCATCTCCATAATCATACCTATATAAAAATATTTTTGTTCAAAAACAACTAAGTTAACTTGTAACTTAACTTAGAGATATAATTTATAACTTTTAATGCAGCATTATTTCAACATTAATAAAAAAACCTGCATATAATCACAACTTAAAAAATGCTTTTTTAAACATAAATTCCGTATAAGTAGGTTCTTGTCATATCACAATCTATTTAGCATGTTGTAAGTTAGGTTAGGGTGCATAACTAATAAATCATGAAACAAAAATACTAATATACTTGAAGGGTAGTAACTGTTTTACTAGTTGTTGTACTAGTTTTTTAAAACTACTGACCTTATTTCTGTGCCTATATTTATGGCTTTAATTGCAAATAAAGCTAAGTATGATGATTGATTTAAAACATAACGTTTCATCACTGCATTTGCATATTTAAATGGCGAATCGTTGACATACCTTAAAGAAACCAAAGTTTTTAATTAAAATTGCTTAGGATTTAATAGTGTTATCAAATTTATTAATGAATACTATTTTAATACAGTCGAATGTTTTTACCTTCCAGCTTGAGTTGAATAAGTAGCATCAATACTAAATAATCAATTATGATTTGATGTAACCAACAAAAAGTAAATAAAAACTAGTACTATACATTTAAGTACACATTAAAAAAAATTAAAAAAACTGACCAAAATTTTCCATTGCTTCCAATTATATTGTAATAAATGAAGCAACCAATTTTGTTTTTCTTATATTTTTTATCCCTTTGTAGTGCTTCAAATTCTGAAATTTTTTCTCCTAAGTAATTAAAAAAACTATGTAAAGGTATTTTTATTTCATGCATTTAATTAAAAAAAAAAATTCGTTTTTTTTTTTGTAAATCCTTTACAAAAAATAAAAAAAAAATTAAAAATGTGATAGGATTTTTACTAAATTTTAGTTAAGTGATAACCCCTTTAGACTAAAGGTTTTGCCACTCACCTGCATATTCTAGAAGAAAGTCTCCTTTCTCAAATTTTTTTGTCGATACTACTCCATAACCTAGATTTAAACAAATCAAATTCATTATGTAGTTAATATTATTAAAAATTAAATTGTTTTAAATGTTATTAAAATCATTACGGTTACGAATCCATACAACATAAAAACATGCAAACTTGAAAAAATCTCCCTTCCCTAATAAAATCTCTTAATTCATTCTCAAAATTTAAAACTGCTCTCTTTAACCATTTTTTAGAAAAATATTGTTTATAAATCATTATATCTTTTTACATCTTATTATTTACAACCGTAACGCAGAGTTTCTATTCATCGATTATTTTTTCTCTTTTCTATTGTGGTATATTACTAACTATAATAATATAAAAACAATAATATCATTTATAAAATTTATCATTTTAAACTGAAATGTTTCAATAGTATTCTGTTTATCACTATTGTTGTTATTATTACTATATTTTTATCATGATGAATATTATTATTATTGTTGTTATTATTAATGTTGTTGTTATTATTGTTGTTGTTATTATTTTTGTTGTTATTATAACTAGTTTTATACTATTATTTTTATATTATTATTGTTGTTGTTATTGTTGCTATTTTTATTATTGTTATTATTGTTATTATTATTGTTGATTTTATCATTGTTATTATTGCTATTATTATTATGGTTATTATTGCTATTGTTATTATTGCTATTATTGTTATTATTATTGTTACTTTTATCATTGTTATTATTACTATTATTATTATGGATATTATTATTGCTATTGTTATTATTGTTATTATTGCTATTATTGTTATTATTATAGTATATACTTTTTATAATCGCTACTATTTTTTTTTTATTACTATAATCACTACTATTACTTTATTATTCCTACTTGTATTATAATTATTATTAAGATCTCAACCTTATTTTTATTAAGTCTGACAGGTGTTTACTTTATATTAATACAAATTACTATTTGTAAATATCCTTGATATATATAACAACAATATTCAAAATATATTTGATTAGATTTTTATTTGATTTGAGTAACATTTAAAATAATTATATGCAGATCGTGATGCATTGTAACATTGTTACAATGCATACAAATGCATTTGTGATCCTTAAGTAAAATATCAAACTGAATAAAATGACAAACCTATATCTGAATTAATCAAAGTAACTTTAATTCCACTTGGATCTTTTCCAGATCCAAGAAAATCCTCGATTATGGAATTAGTAGTACCACGCTTTCTCCTTGACAACATAGTTTACGAGGAAAATAGCGCTCGGCGCGCGGTATGAAAAAACAGCCACTAAGCTTTTATATATTTTTTATATTTTCAAATACTTAACCATTTTTAAACCTTGGTTGATTACACATGACTAGATTTTAAGATTATTATAGTAGAAACAATATGGGCACGTAAAGTCATTAATATATTCGAACTATGTACTTAAAAAAGTTGAATAAAGTCTGGGTCGACCGGACGGCTATTTTAAAACACCGTGTCTACCTGACGCAATATACGATAGGAAAACAACTATTACTCATTAAACATCACTAAAAATAAAAAACGCTGAAAGTTTTATATAAAATAGAAAATTTTTAACAACAGCAATAAACAGGTTCAAGATTTATAACATCAAAATAAATGCATCGACCAATAAAATTAGGTTAATCGTAAAGTCGACATCATTATTGTCGACTTATGAAAAATGTCTACCTGGCGCATTAAAAAAAGCCAAGTTTTGTCGACCTTAGGTAGTCCTAGTCTTATATATATATATATATATATATATATATATATATATATATATATATATATATATATATATATATATATATATATATATATATATATATATATATATATATATATATATATATATATATATATATATATATATATATATATATATATATATATATATATATATATATATATATATACATATATACATATGGGAAAGCAGGGCAACATGGCGAATGAGGCAAGATGGGTTTTCATATAACAACTCAACAAAAAATCCTAAAATCAGGAGAAAACAAAACTGTATTTGCATCTTGTATTTTAAAACACTAATTGGTTTATTAAAATATTATTAACGCAATATTATACGCATAAGTTTACTATTTGCTTTTAAAAAAAAAACCTCAGTTTCGGTATCTTATAATAGATGGTGTCTTTTAAGATTAATTTTTTCAGAAGTAGTTTTTTGCGACTTGTGTTTATTTTGTGTTACTTTAGTTAGAGTTATTGGTAGTTACTAAAGTTTTTCAAAATTTGAGGCAAAAATTACGTAATAAGTCATCTTGCCCCGATCACGTGACAAAATCAAATTGTTATATTTCCAACAAATATAGCAATTTGAATTTATATTTAACATAAATATACTGAGAAAATAACCAGTGGGCACGGGACGTAAAAAAGATGTCCTTAGGACGTTCAAATCGGGTCCGTCCGTCCCATTAAAATTCTAAACGTCTTTTGAACGTCTTTTTCGCGTCCAATAATTTTTTCGTCCAAAAAATATCCAGAATGCTTTATTAAATCAAAAAAAATTAGTTATATCACGCAAGGAATGCTTTATTAAATCAAAAAAAATAGTTATATCACGCAAGTGCTACAACTTTTTAAAATTTTTAACCAACGCATTTTTAATAAGGTTTTTTTTCAATTACAAAAGAAGTCTTTCTACAACGACTAATAGACATGTTCTAGCTAACTTTTATTTTTGTTATCAATTACTTGTATAGTATTGCTATATCAAGAACCTTGTATAGTATTGCTATATCAAGAACCAAGTTCTAACAATTTCGAAGATTTAGACATCTCATGCAGAATCAAATTTTTCAATTGGAAAACCTTTTAATGATACATAGAACAATTATCCTGATAATTCTTTGAAGTCAATATCTTTACTCGACAACATTGTGCAATTCTATTATGGGACCAGTACATTAGTTAATGATCTTCTTGAAATATTGCTAAATCAAGGTTTGGAACTTCCCAAAGATGCAAAGAGAATTTTAAAAACACCTAATGAAAAGCGACTTAAGCAGGTTCTTGCTAATTTATATATATATATATATATATATATATATATATATATATATATATATATATATATATATATATATATATATATATATATATATATATATATATATATATATATATATATATATATACTTTTAAACATATAATTACTTATGATATTCTATATATATACTAAGATATACTGTATGATATACTATAAATATGCTAAGTATATACTTGGCACTTTATATAGTATTTCAAGTATAATAATTGATATACTATGTCAAGAACCAAGTTCTGACTGTTTGAAAGACTTAGACATCGCAGAATCTCATGCATAGTCATATTTTTCAAAAGGAAAACCTATTACAGAGAAATATAACAGAGAGTATATGCTGATAATTCAATATAATTCAATATATAAAATATATAAACAGAGTTTATGCTGATAATTCAATATAATTCAATATCTTTAATTAACAACTTTTAGATTCAAAATAATTGCACCAGTACGTTATTGAAATAATTGGATAATATATATATATATATATATATATATATATATATATATATATATATATATATATATATATATATATATACATATATATATATAAAAGAAATATGTTAATTTATAATAATTTTTCTGTTTTTATTTAAAATTTATTGAAAAAAATAAGATTTTGTTTTCAATGTAGTTATTTTCTCCTTAACTCTGCTTATTTTTTCTTTCATTTAGAAATAGAAATTTAGAAATAGATAGTGTCAAACATCAATTAAATACAATTTAAAGTTGAACAGAAAAACTAAAAAAAAAAAAAAAATGCTAATGCTAAAAAAATAACATTTGTAAGAAATTTTTTACTTTTCCATAAATTTTATTTACTTGTTAACTAAGATTTTATTTTTAGGAGCGTCAACTACATCAAGTGTCAGTTGACCCACTCTTACACCTATCTTTTGACACTAAGATATTTGTTTTTTGATAAGAATTTACAAATTTATGACAATTTACGTGAAGAAAAACATTATTTTGACCACAGTTTCTTCAACAAATCTATATATAGAAAAAAACGGTACTCAAACCGTCATAACTCTTGAACCAATTGTTTGATTTTGATATTTTTTTTTTACCTTTAAAATACTGTAATAATCCTCTTTCTAATGATATATAATATTATAGGATTCAAACAATTTGAAATTTTTACTTACGTACCTATATATGAAGAGCTTATTTTCAAAACGCGGTAAGCGCCAATTTAAAAAAAAACTGCGTTAAGAGACTAATTTGAAAAAAAAAAAAAAATCCTTTCAAGTCATGTTTGTAACTAATTAATAGAGCTTAATTTTTTTTTTTTTTTTAATTTAGGCTCTAAAAATAATTTATTTTCAAAACGCGGTATAATTTTTTTAGTTTATTTTTAATGTGCTGTATATTTTTTTGACCAAGCCGTGCTTATATAAAGTTACTCCACGCAAGCGCAATAAGCATATTTAAATGATAATAATAAAGATAGCTGATTTTGAAGGCTTAGATGAAAGTGTTGTGCTAACTTTATTCATGAAAAGAAAAAAAAACAATGTTCTGCAAGAGAGAAAAAAAAGTTATTTAGACATTCAGGTGGAGGAAAAATTCCTTCTATTTCATGTAGTCATGTTTCAGGTTACTGCAAATTGAGTTTTTTTGGTTTTATTGATCTTCGTATATTGAAATTTATAATTCAGTTATGAATTTAAAGTTTTAATATACACAATGTAAGATGACTTGGCATAGTTTGTGTTTATGGAAAAATAATCATTTATTGATTGACTTATTTCAGGCTCGAGATATGACACAGGATAAAATGTAATAATCAAAAAAAGTTAAGAACTATGAGTATTTATGCTGCGAGGGAATTAAAGTAAGAGTTTGCCAAGCTTCATTTTTTTCAGTATTGTGTAAGTATAAAAACACTTTACTTTTAATTAAAAAAAAAAATTAGTGAGAAAAAGTTAATACTTTATTAATTTATTCCAGCCATAAAACCTGATGGAGTTTTATGAATTGCAAGACACTGGTATGAACATTCAACAACCAGACCTGAAAATAGAGGAGAAGACAGGAAAAAAGAAGCTTTTTCTGAAAAAAAAGAAGCTATCAAAAACCATATTCAGTCTTTTATTTGCAGAGCAAGTCATTATGGAAGAAAAGGTGCTCTAGGACGTAAACATTTGCCCTCTGGTTTATATGTAAAGCAGATGTGCAAACTTTTTTTGGATAAAAACAATACTTATACTGGAGGCTACCATTATTATTATGGGGTTGTTATGAACCATTTCAATTTAGCTTTTGCATACCCAGTAATAGATACATGCTCTACATGTCAAACATATAAGTTGGCTATGAAAAACCAAAAAATTATGGATGACCAAAAAAAATTAAAAACTGCTCTTTTCATTCTTCATCGAAGGAAAGCCAGAAAATTTTATAGTCTTCTCAATGATATTTATCCTAATGAGATCACTATCTGTTTTGACATGATGGAGTAATTTGTACTACCAAAATTATCAATTGGAGAAGCCTACTACTCTAGGCAGCTTTATTTTTATGTCCTTGGCGTTGTTATTCATAATGGTGATAAGTCTCAGTCTGTAAACGATATATATTTTTTTACTTGGATGGAATGTGAGAATAGGAAAGATTCAAACATGATCTGTTTAGCTATAGAACATCTATTAAAAACGTTTTAAAAGATAAATGTTTCAACGCCTCGTCACTTTGGTTGTTTTCTGATGCATGCTATGGCCAGTCTGCTTCTTGCTCTAAATCAATATTTTAATAAACTGCAGACTACACATACTTTTCCGGAACGAGGTCACTCATATCTGCCAGCTGATCGTGTGTTTGGTCGGGTTCAGCTAGATATTTAAAAAAGAGACCAAACTTTTGAGCCTAATAAATAAATACACATACTTAGCCCGCATGGAAAATTCATTGTTTATGGGCAGGATTGGTCTGCACTCGACTTCAAATCAATTCAAGTCAAAAGGTTTGTCATGAGCAAAAAAACATTTAAAATTAATGAAGCAAAAAAAAATTGTTATTAATTAAGACAAGCTAGAAGTAGTTGCATTTAGTTACCATTCTGAGCCAAAATTACACAGTAACCTTAAGTAAGGGAAGAAATGGGAAATATTTAGACCACAACGTTTGGAATTAAATAACTGTGTTAAACTTGTTAAGAAAGATGATGTTTTTCGTCTTTTCAGTCTTGTAGGAGTAGAAGGCAGAATACTTACTATGTATAAAATACTACTCTGTAATGCCACTGAAAATGATACTAACCTTGTGAAGAAGATAGTTCATAATTTGATTTAATTGTTTTTTTAGCTGTGAATTTTTTAAACATGTTTCAGTTAAGATACAAATATTTTAAAAAATCTCCAGCATAACATGATTTGTTTTGTCGTTTTTTTAATTTATGTTATTGAATACAAGAATACAATAGTCATTAACACCTTATATATTTTTATAGTTGCACTAGTGAATTGTTTAAAAAAAGTTGCTGATTTATATCAAAGGGGAACAAGATTTTAAGGTAGATCTTAGAATGCATAACAAAATAATATGTTTCATTAATAAATATATTTTATTAATGAAATGGTTATAAAGCGTTTTGTTAACAAATAATACTTGGATATACAGCGTTTTGAAACAAAACAAAATTAACCACTGAAAATATACATCGATTTCATAAAGTTTGATTTCAGCATATATTTTAGTCTTATTAATAAAGTACATGTTTAACTAAATCAATAATTATTATTGATTTAGTTATTATTATAATAACTTATTCCAAAATACTTAGTTTCTTTATGCAGGAGAAAAGTTCGATTTACTCAAAAACCTCAAAAATGGATTAATAGCGTTTTGAAAATGAGCTCTTCATATATGTATATATACATAACAATAAAGAGATTGAAAGATAAATTTGTATATTTAATATATATCAAATATATTAAATATACAAATTTATCTTTCAAATCTCAAATATTATTTGGTTTTATTCATGTTTAAATTTAATTTTGTTAACATTTTATAAAAAACTCACAAAAGTTTTTTTTTATTCCATAAGATGATCACACTGTGTAAAATATAGCATCTTCTAAAAGCGTGTTTACTTTCTGAATGTCTACTCAGTATTTTAGAATAAACTGAACCCGATAATCATTTAGCAACCAATTCTTTGGAGTATATTACAACCTCGGAAACCATTGGCAAATTATTTAGTCATTTATATCAATATTTTGACTTGATTTTAGCAAAGTTTTCTACATAAAATATAAAGTTTTGCGCAAAACATAACAATGGTGTTAACCAAGATGGCGGCTGGCTTTCATCGCGTTTTATATAAAGTATATACTATGGCGTCTCCTGTTTATTAAACCTCCTTGATAGTAATTTTATTGTTTACGATAGGAAACTCAGAGCTTTGTGGCATACTCAAATTTTTAGTATGTTAATACTGGTATTAAAAGAGAATAACTTGCAAAAAGTTTAGTTAATAAGAGCTAACCTAACCCCGTCCCGACTTCTAGAATTGCCCCCTCCCAAGAACTACGTCTCCTAAAGTTATTGAGTTCTATCATAAATTAGACCAAAAATTATCAACAGATTTCAAGTTTCATCAAAAAATCTCTTTTCGTTTAAGATTTATGACCATAAAAAGTTTTAAATTCCACAAATTAACCCCCTGAAATAACTTTGAATGGTCGTAACTTTTAACCTAGAAATTTTTTTATGATGAGATTTAAAACCTGTTGATAAATTTTGATCTACTTTAATATAACACAAAAAAAAAAACTTGAAAATTTCCTTTTGGGAACCATACACTAGGGCTGGGTTATTAAAGGTTAAGTAGGGTTAGCTACAATTACTTTATCGCCATAAAAAAAAAAAATTCTGGTCGATGTGGGTAACTTATTGTATTTATTTTGCATATATCATATATATTTTGCATATATCAGCTGTGCTCTCCAACTTTTCTTATTTGCCAAAACTGATTAAAATTCTGGTGAATGGATTCAAGAGCTTGTTCGGTCCAGTAACTTAAGCTTACAGAATATAAAATGCACAAAACAAGTCAATTTAATGAATAGTCGTCATAATTTATGCAAGTTTAAACTTGCATGAACTGTAGTATTATTGTAATAACATGTATTTAATTACTATTGTTATAATTAAATAAAATTATTTTAATATTTTGTCAAACTTTAACTTTATTTTTATTTTTAATACTTTCAAAGGAATTGTAGCCCTAGATTTCTATAGCTCGTAATGAACTGCTCTATATCTTTGACATAAGTAGAGCTTAATGATTTTCCAAAACAACAATGGACTACTTTTTCAAAATCTCTAAGTACCTTAATGTATTTGGATACGGAATCTCCAAGACTGGACTCCTATGTAGACTGGGAATATTAGCTCCATTAGTTTTTTATTTTTTTCCCCTGTTAATAAAGGGGGTTGAACAACATTTGGGAACATTTCTGCAATTTTTTTTAGTTTTGCACCATCTGATATTCATAGGTTGTATAATCTGCACAAAGATTTTAAAGAATAATGATCAGCTTTCTAAAAGTCAGGCGACGAGGTCTTTTGATGATTTACTTTCAAAAGCTTTTTGATTTTAAAGAAGGGTGCTCTGATGTTGCAGTTTGTTTTCCAACCATTTGAAGCAAAACCTTTAGATCTTCATATACTGTGTAATCTAAGGAAGAAATGCTCAATTTATTTATATCCAAAATTATTTGCAGATTATGATATTTTTTGTTCATTAAAGGCAAAATGGCCAGTATGATTTTTTTATGTACATTTGTATCTTTGAAGTCTTTGAACGCATATCCGTTACACTCAATTTATTTGGGATTTTATTATTTTCTAACTCTGGTTTTAGGGTGATTGATAGAGTAACTTAAGGAATCCCGGCCCACTATCTACACCTAGTTTGATATCAAAATCATTTGTTTCTTGATGTCTGTGACAAAACACCATTGCTACAGGCTCTTCAACATCATTGCAATACACCATAGGAGTTTCTTTTTCTACCAACAATTTATAAATAAAAGTTTAAAATGAATGATACAGATTACATTCTAGTTATTTTAAAAAATTGTAGGTAATAGATTACTTCCCTCTTTGTTTTTGTTTACTCCTAACAATAATGGGAATTTATCACCATCAAAAAATTTTCCAATCAGCTGGTTGCTCTCAGACAATTTAATATGGAAACCAGATTGCACATTTTTCCGTCCTCCTCCACTTCTCAAAAAGTTTTTAACTTCTTTCATATTGCAATTACTCAGAATTACTCATAACAAAGTTGTTTGAAAAATTGGCTTTAAATTCATAAGTATACTATTATAAAAAAATTAAAGCACCAAAAAGTTTGTTCAATTTATCCAAAGAAAATAAAAGTTCTTTAATCTCAGTCTTTCCGACAGAAACAACAAGTTGTTTTGAACCAAAAGTTTTTAAAGATAAAGTGTTCCGTGATTCATTTGTGGTCAAGCCTTTATTGAACTGGACAGAACTTTTCCTTGCGTTGTCGGGGATGTTGATCTTACAATGGCCGTCAAGTTCTTTTGTCTTTCTAATTTTGTACAGGAATGTGGAATTCCTTGTGCCACTTGAACATAGCAATCTGGACAAAAAAATCTTTTTGCAGGTTTATTTGAAACGTCTAAGGCACTTTTATAAACTAATTTTCCCGAAACATATTTAACCATAGGGACTAATATAAAAAAATTTCTAGATTAAAAGTTATGACCATTCAAAGTTATTTCAGGGGGTAAATTTGTGGAATTTAAAACTCCTTATGGTCATAAATATTTAATATATAATAAAGTTCTATCAAAAAAAGATTTTTTGATAGAACTTGAAATCTGTTGATAACTTTTGGTCTAATTTATAATTACTTAAAAAATTTTAATAACTTTAGGAGACGTAGTTCTTGGAAGAGGGAAATTAGGGGTCGCGACAGGATTGCCTTAGTTCGAATAACCTTTTACAAGTCATTCTCATTTAATACCAGTATTAACATATTAAAATTTGAGTATGCCACAAAGCTCTGAGTTACCTATCTTGAGCAACAAAATTACTAGGCACTCGCTCAAAATACGTTATTTCTCACTAGGCCCCTTGTGAAAAAAGTTGTTTTTTACATTTTTGAAATAAGAAAAAGTCTTCTGAGAATTAACAACAAAAAAGTTTCTGGGGATGTGTTGCAAGGTCTCAGAGCATATTCCTATGCACCGTGATAACGAGGTATTGAATGATTTGATAATTTGTTGTTGAGCTTGATTCCAATACTCTTTTATGGTCTGCTACAGATTAATAAAATATTAATTGATCCTTCCTTTGACTTTGAGATTTGAGACTTTTATTTTTATTATTCGATTGATACTTTTTTTTTATTAGGTTTTACTGTTTTTATATAGGGTAGAGCGAGGTTGGTTGTGGAATTTTTACTAATTCTAACAGATTTCATAAACGGCACGTCGAACTTAAATAATTTTAAAAAATTGTGTAAATTCGCTTATTTAATAGTTACTCGGTTAAGAACAAAAATTAGTAAAGAAAAAGTATATTTTTTTGGTTTGTTTAAGAAGTTATTGCTAAAAGTATACCGAGCCGTTAGGAGAAGAGAATATTTTATATAGTCATATAAAATAAAAATAATTGAAACAATTATTTCGAAACTTGAAGCCTGATTTGAAAATTACTAATTAGAATATATAAATATATATATATCGCAAAATTCTTTATTATCAAAGTTGTTTCTTTATAGTTTAGTTTAGTCTTGTTTATTTTTTGAAAGCTCCTTTGTTTTTGGCTTTTATATTTTAAAGCTCCTCAACTTACCCTTATTAAACAAAGTGACACATTATTTAGGTTTGAAAGAAAACAGTAAGTTGTAGGAATAAACGGCTAATTATAATCGAAAGTCTGATAAATTCATAAAGTATATCATGGAGTGGTGAAAATTTGTAAAATATTAACACTTAAGTGTTAATATTTTGCAAATTTGTAAAATATTAACACTTAATTGAAATGTAAAACTTATCTTTGTAAAACCTAGCTAAACAAAGATGAGTTTTACATTTCCGTTTCCGAAGACGTCAAAACATAACTATTTATGTCAGTTGTAACGTAATTATGCACTCATAGAATGCTCGTGTTAAAACTTAAAGACACATAGTCGTAAAGACAAAGACAACAATAACATTAATTTTGCTCTTATAATTTATTGCTATTTTATTGTATTGAAATGCGACAAAGTAAAGTGTTTAGAAATTTAACTGGTGCATAAAGATTTTCTATTGATAATGGTAGGTAAAAAAAGTTTTATGTAAAAGATTATTATATTTTAATACATTTTAATAAACATCAAAAAATTAATAAAATTGTTTAAAGTTCTTTGTTTTATAGTTCTACCATTATCTTTGCTGTCATTGCTCTTTAGAAAAATTTAGTTTCGCTTTAGCTTTTAACTAGGACAACGGGAGTTTTGCTGTTATTTTTTTGACTAAACCACTGCTAAAATTAAAAGACTTGGTTCTTTTATCTGTAGGAATGATTTAGTCAAAAAAAAATATAGCCAATTTTCAAAGGCTTTTGTTAGATTGCATGGTTCCATTTCTTTTCTATTAATCTTGATACGCAATTGCATTGATAGTACTATATAATTGCATTCATAGTACTATCAATGCAATTGCGTATCAAGATTAATAGAAAAGAAATGGAACCATGCGATCCAACAAAAGCCTTTGAAAATTGGCTATATTTTTTTGACTAAATCATTCCTACAGATAAAAGATCCAAGTCTTTTAATTTTAGCAATAATTTAGTCAAAAAAAAAAAGAAAATAATGAACGTGTAGACCATTGCTAGTTTAAAATCATTTCCGCCACTGTCAAGGGCAGAAATGTTTATAAATATCAAAGCATATAGGTTTATTTTTACTAAATGGTTTTTATTTTTTCCATAGTGCATTCGGGTGACGCGGAAAAAGGCATCATTGCAATGGAAAGTATTAAGACAGGACAAAGTAAAACGCCTACGGTAATAAATTACGTAATTTATTACCGTACGCGTTTTAATTTGTCTTGTCTTAATATTTTCCATTGCAATGAAGCCTTTTTCCGCGTCAGCCGAATACACTGTGGAAAAAATAAAAACCATTCAGATAAAATAAATCTATATGCCTTGATATTTATAAATAATTCTGCCTTGACAGTGGCGGAAATGATTTTAAACTAGCAATGGTCTACGTATTCATTATTTTCTTTAAGAATATCCGATAGGATATTTTCAATATTTGCAAGTTTATATTCAAGTTGTTACATATACATATTTCATTTTAATTTTAACATATAGATATTTCAAATTAATAAGGGCTTCAATTTTAATGTTTTACACGTTCTTATTTCTTTTTATTGTTTTCAGTCATGAAAAATTTGGCCATACAACCATGTTTAGCAAACTGTCTGCTTCTGCAAACGGATCGCGTACATTTGAGCATTGTTTTGAAGTAAGCTTTTTTTTTTTTTAATTGTAGTATTTAATTCAGAATTAAATTTAATTTCAGAATTTAATGACAAGTATTTTATTTTAGCTTTTATTTTATAATTTTATTCGGAACTAAAACAAAATTTAGAATTAGAACGTTGGTTTTGCCGTTGCGTTCTTAAATCACAGAAGGATATTGCCGGCATATAATTCTGAGATTAATTGCCCACAGTATAATTTAAAATATAAAGTTAAAACTATTCGCCACCTAATGCTTGCGTAGCTTATAGTAACATCACACGCTGGCGACCTGAGTTCGAAACAGAGTTGCATTTTTTATTTTTTCGTGAAAATTTATGTTTTATTTCAAACAGTACTAGTTTTTATTAGTGTTACCCATCATTAGTGTTTGTTAATTTTTGTTTATTGATAATTGCCATTTATTAGATTTAAGTTTAATAGGTGCCTCAAAGTGTACATACAACAACTGATATAGCCGTAGGCTAAACAGTGTATGCTTACGACTGATTTAGGTATAAGCGCAGCAAAGTCTAAATTTAAAGACTGACTTGAAAAGGGATGGGCAAAGTAAAATGTACATACCACCGACTGACTTTGATAGGGTTAGACCTGTACATAGATTGACTGAGGGTTTTGGTTTGGGCAGCAGTATATAATTAAAAAAAAAGTCTTTATTATTTTAATACTGGCGTAAAAAAAGTTATAAAAGTAAATTAATTATAATAAAATAAATAAATACATAATTTAAATTGTTTTTCTAACAACAAAACTAAGAAACTAACCAAATCACAAGATTGTAGCCTGTTTTTGGCCTAAAATCGGTGATTTTAGGCCAAAAACAGGCTACAATCTTGGCAAAGATATCTCAAAAAATATAACTTATTAAGTTCTAATTTTTTGTATTTTTATTTGCTTTATGTAGATAAATGTCTTGAGATAAATTTTTGTTGAAAATTTCTTTATTTTAAAGCACCGTTAGATTTTTCAAAGCGCCCAATTAATAATCTAATTTCTGATATTAAGAACAAAAAGTTTGTTGTTTTAAAAATTTATATTCTAAATTTTTATCATCTCAGGACATAAATCTTATTATAATGAATCTCTGTACAAAATTTTAGGTCAGTTGGACAATTACATCTTTGCCAGAAAATTAGAAGAATAAAACAGAGAAAAAAGCATATAAAATTAAAAATATTGAATATACAAACTTATTAAAATCCCCTTTTTTTATATACTGCTCTTCTTAACTTTTGTACTTTTTATCAAACCCTTTCCTAGTTGCTTTAAAATTTTTTCTTTGTTTTTTAATTTTTTTTTATTACTAACCTTAACTAGCGGTCGCTATGAGCGTTGCTAGGGGAAACAAAATTACCTACTTATATAAATCACTTTTGTTAGTTCTAAATTTTTTTTCTCATACGAAGATCTATATATTTTAATGCTCTACATCAGTTACTGTTTAAAACAATGCCACTTTTGAACAATCGTTTTTTTCTAACTTTTTTAGCAGTCTACCACCTTAATAAATCCAAATTATTTCTTTACACGCGCTGCCGGCAATTAATCTCAAAATTATTTGCCAGCACTGCCGACAATTACCATTAGCCTTATTAAATTAATATATCCATAATTTAAATAAAACTTTTGTTTTGTGTTTTTATTTTAACAATTTTAGTTCAAATCTAAACCATACCTTTGGTTTTTAAATAATTTTATTCAGACCTGAAATAAAAAGTTTGTTTTTCCTTTCATATTTAATATGCTTTATTTAGAATTTAAATAAATTGTTTAACTTGACATTTTTAATTATTTTATTTAGATTTTTAAATAGATCGTTCGTTTGTAATTGCTCTTTTCTTTTAAGAACATTGAACACTTTGTTTTGTGGAATACATTTTTAAAATGTTTAGATATATGTATATGTATATATATATATATATATATATATATATATATATATATATATATATATATATATATATATATATATATTTATATATATATATATATATATATATATATATATATATATATATATATATATATATATATATATATATATATATATTTATTCATATATATTTATTCATATATATATATATATATATATATATATATATATATATATATATATATATATATATATATATATATATATATATATATATATATATATATATATATATATATATATATATATATATATATATATATATATATATATATGAATGTTGCTAAAGTGGCGGTAAATACCGCCACGCTAAGCTTTAAAATTTGCTAGAGTGGCGGTAAGATTCATGATGCAAAATACCGCCACCTAAAGTTGATATTTTGCTAAAGTGACGGTAAATACCGCTAAATTAAGTATGCAATACTTGCAAACCTAACGTCACTTTCTCATAATACCAAAAAGTCACTTTCTGAAACTCATAATACTATTTTTCTGCGGCTCACAGAAATATAACATTTAATGTCAGAATTAAAACAGAATTCACTTTTTTCAAAAAACACTTACTTTCTGATTATAAGACACAACTGTTACACTATTTCTTTGACGCAGAGGATGTCAATGAGCTTTTGCAAACTGTGCAATAAATTCTTGTGCTCCAGCTGCTGTTTGGAAGCATTGTCCCTTATGTAACTTCATTTTTTTTTTTAATTATAAAATGTTGATGTAAAGTTTTAAAATTGGGTTTCACCGAGTTTTGCCTCGTTTTAAGAGGCTTGCCTGATCCTAATAAATTACCGCCACTCTAGCAAATTTCTCATCTTCAAGTGGCGGTATTTACCGCCGCAATAGATTTATTCTATATATATATATATATATATATATATATATATATACATATATATATATATATATATATATATTCGACCGTGTCGAATGCTTTTGATAGGTCAATGAAAATACCTAATGTATATTGTGATCTACCAAATGAATCGGAGATTTCACGAATGAACTGTGTAATGGCTTGTTCAGTTGAACAATTTTTTTTTAAAACCGAATTGATTTTTATATAGAAGTTTATTTAGATTAAGGTAATTGTATGTTCTATTGTATATAATTCTTTCTAAAATTTTTGAGAAAGTTGAAAGAACTGAGATGGGGCGATAATTACTAATATTTGATTTTTTTCCGTTTTTGTATATAGGAGTTACTTTAGCTATTTTTAATTGGTCGGGGAATACACCTTGCTGTATAGATGCCCTAAAGACTTTATAAAGAATACACTTTAAGTTTTCAAAGCAATCTATGACTATGTTGCCATTTATTTCGTCCGCACCCGTAGCTTTGTTTCTTTTGAGAGATTTGTAAGCTATCTCAAACTCATTAAAAGATAAGTCAGAATGTAAATTATCTATAAAAAGCGAATTATTTATAGGCTCTAGGAAATCACTAAAATTTTTTTCTGTAATAGGGATCTTGTTTGCCAATTTGGTTCCTATGTCAATGAAATATTTATTAAACTCGTTTGCAATTTCGTTTGGTTCATATATATTTGTTTTATTTATTTTAATTACTTTAGGAAGGGAGTTTGAATTTGTTTTTTGTCGACCAACGAAACCAATTTCCTTTTTTTTTTTTTTTTTATATAAAATTTATTTCAAAATAATAAATATTTACAATTTTTCTAAACTATTTCTGTAAAATAAAAAAATATCCTCTTTACAATTAAAGAGGATATTTTTTTATTTTACAGAAATTGTTGTGAAGAAATCGAAAGAGGATGTTTTGTGTTGGTCCGTATGCGTGGAAGGTAAAGTTTTTTTTCCAGAAGCCAATTTCCACCTGAATATTTTTTTCTTTTTGAGAAGCGAGCTCTACGAGTAAGACTTCTTGCTTTACTTTACGTTTTTTTGCAGCAATTTTTTTACCCTTAACTTTATTTTCCGACTTGTGGGTATCAATATTGTAGTAATATTTAGCATAACATATTTGTCTTTTAAATGAGTTATTGCTCAGCATTTGAGGACATTTTCTCAGGATTTTTCTTAGCATTCAGAGGTATTTTTTCAACATTGCTTGGCAATTGTCTCCATGTAGTTTTTGTCACATCAACATGAGTTACCGTTGATAAAGCAACTGTGGGGCTAAACCTAACCCAAAACAATGATAGATTTCACCAGCTGAAACATTTAAAACCTGCTGAAATATTGGATTATTATCAAGATTGTTTTTAAGAGCGTCATGATCACCGATAGGAAAAACTTTTTTCACGAGCCCAGTGTAAGCCATCGTCATCATTTTGAAACTTCAACCTCTATATTTTGCCCCTTCATTCGGTATAACTGCAATATATCTTTGTTGCCTCATCAGATGTCATAATTGCCAGCTCTTGGTGTGTTATTTTCTTACCGAGAAGCTTTACGCTGTTTCCACTTGAAATGGTGGCAACTAGTCTGGATTTATAAAGAGTTATTGAGCTATCTTCAGCCTCGCTCTAAGTGGTGCTTTCATCGATTTCATCATTTTCCGTGAGCAGGTCGTCGAGGATAGTCTCCATTGTGAGGTTTTTTATATACATACGCAAGCGTTTTCTCCAAATGCACGAGAGCAGAATAGCTATTAACATAGAAATTAATACAACAGTATTACCGTATAATATCCAAGTTAGCGCATCCATCGCAGCAGCTCAAATTTTTGTCTAAAGATTGGTGAATAGGCGCTGCTGCGCAAGGTTTAGATAAAAGGTGCGAGTAGATTTTTTCATTATCATTACCCATCAGACTACTCCCATTTTTTTCTATTATCATTGAAAAGGTCGACCTGTCTTTTAGCGTGAGGATAGCAATGCACGACAGCTGATCTCTCTCAACTTGCGGGATGCCTGTATACCTCTGAGTGAGCACCAACAACGAATGCTTTAAATGTCTTCCTAATATTGCAAGTTTTGCGAGTGGTGAGCGTCTTAAATCTATCTCAGACTTGCATATACAGTCGTCAAAGATAAAAATGCACCGCTCACCTTGCCATTACTTTTGAAATATTTTCAATTAAGC